GTAATCAATCCCAACAATCGAAATCCAGAAATGAAATTTTTTAACCAATCACTATCTAGATGATGAAATCCGGTAATCATTTTAATGAATTATGTTCAGTAGAAATAAATGATATGAAATATAGACAAGAAATGAAGTGATTGTTTTCTCCTCGTCCATTTAAATAGTCTGTATAATTGATAATCCTTTATACTTCTCAGAAACTACGACGGTCGAAATTAGTACCTGTTTTTAGCATTCTGACCAGCTGATCCTTTACTACATAAAATCGATAGGAAGATTTGTTAGGCACGCTACAAACTGATAATCTGTACATAATTAGGAGATTACCAATTACTACATACAAGAAAGTTGCTAGTATTTGGTTTATTTAGATAACCATAATCAGAATAAATTTGCACGGTAGATTCGACTCGTCTCTATCAATAAGGTATACATACACCTTATTCAATTGAACTGAGTGATACACAGAGTCTCGATCCGACAAACATTCCCAATTTTTAACAAAACCTTTCGATAATCGTAGACCATAGAGTTTATGGAACAAAAAGATTGGTATGAAAATAACCCAACGGTGAAAATCAGGATGTAGGGCAAAACCACAAGACTACTAACTACTTACCAGTAGTAGAAGTAACAACACTATCAGAAGTAATTCGAAAGATTAAGTGAGATTTCATGCTGTATGTTTTGAAGCAAGACAAAAAGGTCAGTGCGTCTGAGCCACTGAGTACGATTTCGAGCTGTCAATCAGTCTACCCATTAATTACGATAACCACGCGGACTTCAACGACATATTTGATATCTATCAACATGACTCAGACCAACTGTAAATAACTTCACGGACTAATGATATATATAGGTTTTGGGGCTCCTAGCTTCCTCCTGGCCTACTCCTACACCAGACAGCCATCGCAAATCGAAGTTGGGTATACAGCACCTCAGAACTCCTTACTCGATGATCCCAAAATACACGGGTGATTGTATAAAGACACCAGTGATTGAATGACAGTAACCCATGAATACACATTATCCCTAATGTCCACACTCATAGAATAGGATGGAGAAAACTGTTGCGCAACATAACGTAACAAATACTGAACTTCCTCCTAGTCAGTCAGTAACAACGTAGAACTTCGTACGTACGTACATCAGTTCGAGTTGCCATACTACATAAGCACAGAGATGCAGTTGTCAACTCAAACTCAGTAGTGGTAGAGGTAGTAAAAGTATAAGCAGTAATCGGAAAGATTAGGATTTGGAGATGTTATTCAAGGAGTATAATCCAGTGAAATAAGTTTGGAAACAGAAAAGAGACAAGAACTCAGATTAGAATTTGGGAGAACACAAAGAGTAGTTGGACCTGAGCCATCGCAAACGATTTTGAGCTATGACATTTAAGGTCACTAACCTTCCTCCTCCTTCTTCCTCTAAGGTTACTGACGATCCCATGCACAGAGAGGGTTGGGATCAGGGTTAGCAACAGTACTTCGCTAAAACGAACCCCACTACGAAAGCGTCAACCAAAGAAAACTGCACCCTGAAGGTTAAAGAATAGTTAGGGAGTGGACAAACAAAACATGGTTCAGGGAATTCGAGGGAAATCATGAACACCCTTCATAAAGGGGGAGGAGACTGGTACAGAGTTGTCTGGAGGCCGCTGGTGAACGCTACATGCCCTAAGAGGTACCAGACTTCGGTAATGTGAATACCACCAGCAAATCCCAAAGTGAATGCCACCACTCCACTTGGTCTCAGCAAGTTGGTAGCAAAGAATGTAGTCTGAATCCGAGCACACAGATTACTTATTGGTTATGTAGTTACATCAATATTTTCGTCATCCTTAGTCTAATGATACTACAATTGGAAAAATAATTTATAGTATCCTGTTTCAAAATATCACTTTAAAGAGGAAATCGATACATCATGAGAATTTGGAACTTGCATGAATCAACATCCAAAAACGCCTTAACAAACCGGCTGACTCTATGTACTTTTCGGAAGCAAAAATGATAAGTGAAAATTCCCATTTTGCCATTTGGTAAATAAAGAAGGAACGAATTGAGCGAAGAAATTTCTTTTCAATTAGTTTTTCATCATGGCTCTACACTAATATATATATACGTTTTACAATAATAATATAATACTCATCGAGTGGATAAATTACGTAATAATTACATAATGACACTTAAATTAACATTGATTATTGGAAGAAAGAGGATTATTAATATTCAAAGTGATCAAGAAGTTGCTAAGTTGCGTAATGTAAGAAACAAAGAAGTAACAAAATTTTAACGGATGGTAGTTACGTAAGAATCAAGAGATTAATGTTGAGAAGTTATTAAGTTCAAAAGCAAAAAATGGAAGAAGTGTGAAAAATAGTTCTTTTGAAGGAAATCTTAAACTGATGGCCAGGGCAGGGAAAGTGGTTGTACGAATCTCTTTTGAATGCAAAGGTCAGGTTTGTGTGTATCTATCGTTTCAACTGCTCCTGTGGAGCCAGTTATATTGGGCGTACAATTCGGCAAGTCCGTCATCGCATTACTGAACATCATCCGTCGTGGTTAAACAAAGGACAGGTAAAAGTGATTAAAAGTTCTATTCTCTATCACTTGGTTGACACAGGTCATCAAGTCGAATTGAATAAAGCTTTTAAGGTTATCTAAAATATCCCATCTAATTTGCCACATGTTTTACGAGTGCGCCTCTTGCACATTGCGGAAGCCATCGCAATCCATGTTCACAAACCTGACCTTTGCATTCAAAAGAGATTCGTACAACCACTTTCCCTGCCCTGGCCATCAGTTTAAGATTTCCTTCAAAAGAACTATTTTTCATACTTCTTCCACTTGTTTTTTTTTAACTTTTGTAATTTTATTTCTGTTGCTTTTGAACTTAATAACTTCTCATCATTAATCTCTTGATTCTTACGTAACTACCATCCTATTGACCATCCGTTAAAATTCTGTTCCTTCTTTGTTTCTTACATTACGCAACTTAGCAACTTCTTGACCACTTTGAATATTAATAATCCTCTTTCTTCCAATAATCAATGTTAATTTAAGTGTCATTATGTAATTATTACGTAAGAAATTTCTTCGCTCAAAAAATGATAAGGGATAAATAGCAGTCTCGCTAAACCAGTTTTTTCGAACAGTAACAGATATACAAAGGCTTGGAACTTCACACTCTAGTCGAAATGCTAGACCGGTTGCAATTTGGACAATTTAAATCGCGAACTTAGGAAATGTTTTACTTTATTGGATCAATTTTAAAATTCCAATAGGGAAATTCAGAAGGTACTCATTAAAATTACTCAGAATAATTGATGATTCGAAATAAATTTTATTGATGACATTTCAAAATATGTACACAATTTTAATACTGCAAGTGACGAGTCCTAAAGGAGCTAATAATTAAAAAGATACAATCAAACAACCGTTATTGTCACCAGAACAAATGTTAATTGATTTTCGATAAAGCACACTCGATTCTGAGAATTAAAAGGTTGAAGCAAATACATTTGTGACGAAGGAATCCTGAAAACGAACCGTTGATTATTGTTTTTCTTGTTTGGCTGATTCCTCATTTTGAGAGTCAGTCTTTGTTCCCTGCTCACCTGCCATCTATTATACATAATCAAATTATTAACTTATAGCAAACTAACCTTTCTATAGGCAACTTCGAACAACTTCAGCGATGCTTGCTGAAGTTCATTAGTAGCTTCTCTAATGCTTTCAGCAGTTTCATTATCTTTGTTACTCAACCGACTTTTCAACTTTTCGATAAGTACACTCAGTTTCTCCCTCTGAAGTTCAAAAAAATACATTACTTAGACACACTAAATTGGAAAAATATGACTACTGCTGCTGTATATAAAAACGACCTGTAATACAGGATATTCTCTCTAGACATAAACACTAATTCAGTGGACTACATGTCAGGTCTGAACAAACTTTTATGTTTAAATATCAAAGTCAACCGACTATATACTACCTTCATTGTATATGATTTTTGAATTATAATTACTATAAAGAGACAATCTCATAGCATTTCAGAAACGCAGAGTCTTGAGTATAAAGGAATGTATAGATATTACGTATTTGCTGCCCACAATACTCTGGTACAGTTGAGAGTGGGAAGGGTCAATTCTCCCTCTCGAAATACTTTCACATGGCCACGCGTATACAACCTCTCTCAGAGAAGTCCTACTCACTGCCTTCTCGTAGCGCGGGTGTTGTTTACGGAATTCAGAGGACGAAAAGCGGATGTCCGGCGCTTTAACCGGGTTAGTGGACACAGAGAGTTCACCTAGAGAAGTTGGAAAACCCTGATTTCAAACCAATGGTTCACATGGGCCTCAGTATCCTGAAGGAACAAATGGTGTATGGACCTATTGCTGGTGACTGGCTACCACGGGACTGCATCTCTCAACATTGCTCCACTGTCTTGTGGATCAGACCTTTAGGTCAAAGGCTCCACGTGTGACCCCTTAAGAAAACCACCTGCTTCGGTCTGGGCAGCTGAGTAGTATCACAGCCAACACACAAATCAAGTGGCTTGTGTGGTGCATATGTATTCGGTACACTTTAGTACCGACATTTATGTGTTCAAATAAATAATATTTAAATAAGCTAAGTTGGTAGGTGAAACTCGAAAAAATAAGTTCACGCTTTTACACAGAAAAAATAACTTGTATTAACTGTTACTGCCTTCATCCTAACCTGATGAGTATTGGTATTACACCTACTTCGTTTATACTGAATATTTATAACATAGATGAGCGAGTTATTGCTAGTCAGGACAGTGGACACTTTAAGCCTAGAATAAATATCAGCTGAACAGGTTAAAAAATTTCATTTCAAAGTACTACACCACATTGAATTCTTCGACTTGGATGGTTAGATTGTACAGAATTTAGTGTCGTTTTTGGTCAGTTAGCTACAACGTAGGACCAAGCACATATACGCATCGGTCCAAAGTGACGTCGTTTTGGACTACTTCATTTATTGTAACGTGTAACTAAATTCATAATAATGACAACACAATAAGGATCAGATGAGATGCCAAAGCCAAAACAAAGACTTAGCATGAATTTTACATTTTTAGCCTTTTTGTCTGCTGTTCCAAGAAAAACGAGGAAGTAGTGATGGTCATCTACAGCTATTCGCAATCTAGAGAGGCATGAGTTGTTTTGAAAATAAATAGATACTTCTGACTACATGACATATATATCCACCTAAACTATTTTTCAACTTTATTTCATCCTACGTGGAATCTGGGAAACACGTATTTTAGTGTACGCGAATTTATGGTTATAGGTTACAATTGAAGGTGGTGAATTAACGTACCTCATCTGAAGGCAACTGATCTTTGTATTCATTGATTTTTGATTCTGTATCATGAACAATACCTTCTGCTTGGTTTACTGACTCCACCAGGTCTCTACGCTTTTTGTCAACTTCTGCATATTGTTCAGCATTGCGCACCATATTCTCAATCTCATCCTTGCTTAAACCTCCACCGGAACGTATGACAATCTGTTGTTCTTTACCAGTGCCTTTGTCACGTGCAGCTACATTGACAATTCCGTTGGCATCGATATCAAATGTGACCTCAATCTGAGGAACACCACGTGGGGCAGGAGGTATTCCCACCTATTAGAAACAATAAACGAAGTAATATCATACGAAAAACGTGATTATATAAAAAAGTACAATAACAGCAAGTTATTAAGAACTCACCAGGGAGAACTGTCCCAGTAATTTATTGTCATTTGCCATTTCACGCTCACCCTGATATACTTTGATTTCAACCTGTGTCTGGCCATCGGCAGCCGTAGAAAACACTTGAGATTTTTTTGTGGGAATAGTTGTATTTCGATTTATAAGCTTAGTCATAACACCACCTAGAGTTTCTATTCCAAGTGACAAAGGAGTAACGTCGAGCAGTAGAACGTCTGTGACATCACCAGCAAGAACTCCCCCTTGGATTGCCGCACCCATAGCTACAGCTTCGTCTGGATTAACACTTTTACTAGGTGTCTTTCCAAATATCTTCTCAACTGTCTCTTGAACCTAATGATAACTTAGTTTTTGTAATGTATGCATCTCACCTTGGGCATTCGGGTCATACCACCGACTAGTATAATTTCACTGATATCTGAAGCTTTTACTTCGGCATCCTTCAAGGCTTTGTTACATGGTTCGATTGTACGCTTGATTAGAGGCTCCACCAGATGTTCTAATTTTGCTCTAGTTAATTTGAAATGCATATGTTTGGGGCCTGCTTTGTCCATAGTTAAATAAGGTAGGTTAATATCGGTTTGCAAGGAAGATGATAATTCAATTTTAGCTTTTTCTGCAGCTTCTTTGACACGCTGGAGCGCCATTGGATCTTTAGTGACGTCGATACCTTGCTAAAAAACTAGTTTAAAAAACGACTATTACCTCTCGTTGAAATTCCTTAATCAGAAAGCGTAGCAATTCATTGTCAAAATCTTCACCTCCTAAAAATGTGTCGCCATTGGTGGATTTCACTTCGAACACCCCCTTTTGAATTTCTAATACTGATATATCGAATGTACCACCCCCAAGATCATAAACCGCTATCCTAAACAAAACATAAGTATAGTAGTGAAATTACGTTTTGTCATCTGTTCGATCCAGACCATAAGCCAAAGCCGCAGCAGTAGGTTCGTTTATGACACGCAAGACTTCCATGCCCGCGATTTTCCCAGCATCCTTTGTTGCCTAGATATACTTTTAGATGGAAAAAAGACATATACCTGTCGTTGTGAATCGTTAAAATAAGCAGGGACAGTGATCACCACATTTTTCACCTTCGACCCCAGATAACTTTCTGAAAAGCTGCTTGATGATATGCACTAAGAAACGAACCTGCAGTTTCTTTCATTTTGATTAACACAAATGCACCTATCTGGCTAGGTGAATAAGCTTTTCCATGAGCTTCAAGCCAGGCATCTCCATTGGAAGCCTTAATGATTTTGAACGCAGAATTCTTCATGTCCTTTTGTACTTCTGGGTCGTCATAGCGCCTCCCTATAAGACGTTTGGTTGCAGAAAACGTGTTTGCTGAGTTAGTAACAGCTTGTCTTTTGGCAGGCGCACCCACAAGTCTCTCTCCGTCACTTGTAAATGCCACTACTGATGGAGTAGTGCGACAGCCTTCTGAATTTTCCAAAACTTTAGGCTGCTTTCCCTCCATAACTGCAACACATGAGTTTGTTGTTCCAAGATCTATGCCAACAACATGTCCCTTAGGACTAGATGAGTAGAAAGAGCACAATGGCTTCAAATTTAAAAACTAAACAGGTACTTTAAGAAACCGGGACCGAAATACCTTATTAAACATTTGTCTTGACAACAAATACCTAGACATCTCCAAGAAGTCAATAAGTCGTGTGATCTAGAAGGAGCGCGAAGCGTGACTAAATAACGAAGTAAAACAATGGTGAAGATTGTTGTATAAATTTGTCATATAGGATTAAAAGTATTGATTTACACCCATATGAGCTATCGAAAGTGGTTACTCTATGTATCAAACCTTTTTACAATAAAATAACTGATTGGTCAATGAAGTGATCATGCCAGCACAAGGTGGGTAGCAGGCCATCACCTATCAAATGTATCATTGAATCTCTTCGCTTCTGGTATCTGATTGCACTGGGTTGGCACATTTCGATTATAGAATTTGTTACTGGTTGACGTGTTGTCAAACTCCAAATGATTGTAGTATCTTCAGTGGCGAGCCCGATGTGATCTGGTACACCTATTTGTAAACTGAGTCTGTTTCTTTCTGGAACTTTATATATTATTTCTTTGTTTAATTTTTATTTGTGATATCTTTTCGTTTTTTCGTATATTTTTCTGCCCGTCGTTTAGTCCTATATTTTATATTCGTCATGACTCATAGGTTACTTAAGGTCAGACTCCTCCGCCACTCTCATTTCAACTAATGCCATTTCGGACCGATAACATCGAAGCCCGGTTTTGCCACGCGGAGGCTGGTTACCGCAAGCACGGCGTGACAGCTCCACGTGCACAGTACCTTAAAGTAGTGAAGGCACTACCGTGAGGTTTCAACAGGTATGTCACACCTAGTATGTTTACTAGTGATGTCTCGGAACCTTATGACATTCCAAAAAGGTCTATTCTTAAACGCGTGGATCGAACCTGTCAACAGAGTTTAGATCAACTCTTCAGTGACACCGATCTAGAATATAGCTAAGCAACGAACATGTTATTACGGGTAACAGAGGTCGTTGGTCAAGGGACTTTCGACAATGGCGTGTTTAGATAACTTTTCTTGTCTAAGCTTCCCAAACAGCGCTTGTCTTGTTTCAAAACAACATTGTAGACGAACTAGTCGTACCTGCCAACCGAATTCTAGAGATCACCAAAACTTCTGACGTCGATGCCCATTCAGTCAAAAAAAATCTTCAAACGACACAAAATGACGTTACAGAACTCTGCCATAGTCAGACATGTTACCTTAGTGTTCGTCACGGCCGTAAATTCCCAACCCCCGTAGTACTTCACGTAAACGATCTGTCTTTAGATTACGATAGATAACCCTCTTTGGTGCTGGTATCATAATCAACACATAAAGTCTTGAAATTGCAGAAAACCCTGCAATTTGCCCAACTCAAAATCTACCGACGCGAAAAACAATTCGGGAAACTTCCAAACCGGCACGCGTTAACGGCAACAGTAACCGGCGAACATAGCTGTCTGTTGTATATCACTGATATGATTACAAAAGTTCGCTGCCTCGTCAAAAGTGGCACAGCACTTAGTGTTCTTCCTGTGAATTCTAACAACCGACAGCACAAACCGGTTTTTAACTTACAGGCGGCAAACGGAAAACCGATCACCACATATGGTAAGTGGTACGTTTATCTTAACGTGGGTTTATATAAGCGCATCCACTGGATCTTTGTTGTCACAGATGTTTCTATGCCAATAATTGATATAAACCTGATAAAACATCATAATGTACTCGTTGACGCGTGAAAACGGAGGTTAGTAGACGGAAAGGCTAATTAACCTGTTTGCGTAACTTCTTCATCCGGTTGTAGATTATCCCCAGTCACAGAAAGGCAGACGATCGATCCACACCACCAACGAATACTCGATCAGCACCCTGAGATATATCAAACGCGGCCGAAATTGACATGTGTGACCAACAGTGTTATATATCACATCACGAAGACAGAACCACCTGTAGTTTCGAAAGCCCGCCGACCAGCTCCCGAAAAGCTGAGGTTGGCTAAAAGCGAATTCGGCTATATGATGGACGTAAGAATCATTTGGCCATCAAACAGCCCATGGGCATCTCCCTTGCACATGGTCCCTAAAAACGACAGTAATGACTAGCGTCCAACTGGTGACCATCGGCAATTGAATGCGGAAACCAGTCCTGATCGTTTTGACAGCTACTTCGAAAGGCATTACTGTTTTTCTCGAAAGTCGGTTTGGTTGAAGCTTGTCACCAAATTCCAATGGCTGCTGATGACACTCTTAAAACCTCTACCATCACTCCTATAGGTCTCTATGAGTTTTGCACATGATTTTCGGCTTCACAAATACTGAATACGATTATCGATGACGTTTTTCGAAGTCTCAACTTCGTACATGCATATGTTGATGACTGCTTGATTACAAGTCCGGGTTGACAGCCTCATCCCCAACATTTGGACATTGACTTCGAACGACTACAAGTGCATAGCATTACTGTAAACGTTCATAAATGCCAAATCAGCACCAGCTCCCTAGATTTTCTCGGACCCACTATTTATGCTCAAAGCATCCGACCTCTGAAAAGCAAAGTTACGGCCATTCTGGATTATCCAGAACAGACCACAATCAAGAAACTGCGCACGTGTAACGGTCTAGTAAGTTTCTATGGACGGTTCATACCAAATTGCACGTCCCCGAAGAGATCTTTAACCGACAAACTTTGTGGAAATGCGATATCCATCAACTGGGACGACAATGCGACAGAAGCATTCACCGAAGTTACGGAATCGGTCGCCAAAGCAACATCGCTCGCACATCGGGACACTAAAGCACCCATCAGCATCGCAGTGGAAGCATCCGACAGTGGGTTCACCACAACTGGCGACCTTTGGCATTCTTCTCAAGACGGTTGTCAGGCACCCAATCGAAGTATAGCACTTTCGGTAGGGAGCTACGAGCCATTTATTGCTCTTTACGGCACTCTCAACACTCCGATGAAGGCCGAGATTTCACTCTTTTCACCGACCATAAACCTCCCACTTTCGCTTTAAGCTCATCTTCAGACAAGTACTCTCCTCGAGAGTCGCGATAAGCGGACTATATTTCGCAGCTTGTTTTAGATATATAACATATCTGGAGCAAATACTGTCCCGTACAACTTCTTTGAACACTTTCTAGGGAATCGACCTTCTTAAACTCATCCAGCTTCTAAACACATGAGTTGTCTTTGACAACCCTGAAACTGTGTATCAGACAGGTAGAAACAGGTAAGGAAACTTTAATATGTGACACATCCACAGGTGGAGGTAGTCCAATCATGCCGAAACATTATCGACGCAACGTCATTACGTTGCACAATCTTCCTCCTCCAGGTGTTCGTGCAACAATCAAGCTCACAGCAGGATGATTTTGTTGGCATGTATGAATAACGACGAAAAAGAATGGGCATGTTCCTATGTAAGCTGCCAGAAGTCTAGGGTGGTTAGATACAACAAAGATTCATTAGGTTCATCCAAAACTCCTGATGCTCGTTTCTACCAGGTTCATATGAATTCGGTAGAACATTCGTCAGATCCAAGTGGATAATCTTATCTCTTAAATTGTGAAGAACGTTTCGCTCGATGGCCAGAAGCAGAACCCATCAAGGACATTACTGCCGAAACGCTGGTGCATGCCTTCGTCGAACGGTGAGCAGCCAACATCGTCTGCACTTTAAATATCACTGCAGACCATGGACGACAGTTCGAATGTGGACTTTCCCATTACCTAACTATAACGTGAATGGAGTTTGACCATTCGTCAACCAGTAACAAATTCTATAAGCGAAATGTGCCAATACAGTGCAGTCAGAAGTCATAAGCGAAGAGGTTCAATGATATATTTGATAGGTTGTCAGTATATCAAGAAGTGATCTATCTGAACTGACTAGAGGTTGTAAAAGTTAAGCATAGAGTACTCACTCGTGATCTGGTGAGGATGCGTAACCGAGGCGATTGAGCTGCTGAACATAGCTAGAAAATTGCCCTCAGAAAAACAGGCAGCATTAAATCAACAGAATTACACTTACAGGGAAATTAGGAGCGTTATCATAAGCCCTGCTCTAGATTTAAATGAGATCATAAAGGTTGACCCCATCAGGTAATCAAATAAGCATAGAGAGGTAGGCATTGTCACAGAGAAAAGGAAACTATTTATAGACAGCACTGAAGCATATGAATCCACGACTTCAGTTCCGGATTCACTTATCAATACAATACAAACTATGGGGAGCCAAGTCTGAGAGGTGTACAGGATGTAGTCAAGAAACAAAATAAGATAAATGAGTAGCTCATAGTCACATCTAGTAAAAAAATAAGAAAACAGAATGAGACCTCTGTGTTCGACGCTAAATTGGAATCAAATTGCCTGGAAGAGACGATTTCAGGAACTGAAATTCTACAGCGTGTTATAACGGACCTCGCTGAGAGGTCAGTCATTTTTCATAAGTTTACAGAATCTTCCAATACGGAACCAAAGGCCAGATTTCAGCACGACCTTAGTCATATTAAGTCCTTAATAAGCAAGCTACGCCCAGAAAGTTTCAAGATTTAGCAGATGTAAGTTTTATAAAATATGACAAAGTGTGGATTCTGAAAGTACTCAGAAAGGTCGCCTCCTAAAGGTTACCTTTGCTTTGGCTGAAGAAAGAAACCTAAAACTGAGAAACTCATTCAAACTGATCGGTTACGAAATATACGTCGATGAGGATCTCAGCCTGTTTGACTGTATTAGACGATCAGAAGAATCAGAGATGAAAGGCACCGAAACAGTGAAAGAAACCTCGTCTTAAGAGTTTTCACATTGTAAAAGTTCAGAGCGAAACGATCCCCAAAGCACTGTGGGTGGTAAGGGAAAGTTCTCCACGGAATTAAAGGTGTGCTACATTAATGTTCGCAGCCTGCTAAATAAAACGGCCGAGCTCAAGACAACGGTGGATAAAGAAAAACCGGATGTTATTGCTGTCTCAGAAGCATGGTGAACGTCAGTGTCCGATAATAAAATTCAGCTGGAGGGTTTTTTATCCAGTAGGGCTGATAGATTAAACCTTGAGGGAGGCGGTTTGATCCTGTGCACAAAAAGTACCCATACCATACGAGTAGTAGAGATAGCAGCACATGATTCAGGGACATGAGAACTGGTGCACTGCCAGCTGAAATTTTGACGGCAAGATATTGAACTAGTGGTAATATATCGCAGTACAGAATGCGTAGTAGATGACTTCCTCGTAAGCAAACTTAAGTCCTGGTGTAATAAGAATAAAAGCCATATGGTAGGCGACCATAATGCATTGTATATAAACTGGGTAAAATTAGAACTATGGTCATCGATGACGTTATTTACTCGCAAACTGTTAAAAACTTCACTTGTATTAGCTTTATTTCAACACATTAAAGATCCCACCAGATATTACTTACAAAGATCCTCTTTTCTTTTGGATTTAGTCTTCACACACGGTGATGACGTCGGTCAAATGAGTTTCCTCCCATCACTAGATAGGAGCGATCATGCAGTCATATTGTTCAAATTCATGGCTGAGATTGCCTGTCAGGTAGTTGCGCCAGCCCGTTCTAATATATGGAAGGCAAATATGGAGGCAATCAAGTCCTCTGAATCGGCTGAAAACTGGGAAGTTGACTCAAGGGCATCAGCATAAGAGGCCGTGTCCTTTGATCAAGACGATGTACTTAAGTATCTTAGCATGTTAGACATGGAAAAGTCAAAAGAGCCAGATGAATTGCACCCAAAAATCCTGAGATAAACTGCATAATATATCACAGCCCCACTGACTGTGATATTCAATATGTCACTTGATCAAGATGTGTTACCTACGGACTATAAGGATGCAATCGCCACTGCCATACAAAAAACAGGACCAAGACACCTTCCACCGAACTAAAGACATGTAAACCTCACAAATGTTGTAGTTAAAATATTGGAAAGCATAGCTAAACAGACCATAGTAATATTTGTGAAAAACAATAACCTGTTAAACAGCAAACAACATGGTTTCAGAAAAGGTTTATCTTGCACAACGAACCTCCTTATAGCAAGGGAATATTGGATAAAGGCTCTAGACAACGGAAACCCAGTGGATGTTGTCTACATAGACGTCAGTAAGACATTTGACAAGGTGCCAACAAACAAACTGCTATTGAATTTAAAAATCTTGGTATTGCCGGACCTTTTTAAATGGCTTGAGGATTTCCTAGTAGGTCGTAGGCGGAAAGGTAAAATAAATTCCAAGTGTTTCACCTGCAGACCATTACTTAATGGAGTACCTCAAGATCCTGTCCTAGGTCATATACTTTTTATACTGTATGTAAATGATCTCCCAAGTATAATACAGCCCCAAAGTTATTATACGCTGATGATGTAAAAATCTGGCGAGTAATAATGGGAGACACAGATGCACGCGCATTTCAGGTAGACTTGAATAATGTGGTTAACTGGTCTAAACAGTGGCTGAAGCCTATCAACACGACAAAGTGTGTCTACATGCACTTCGGGAATACAAAGGTAAATAAGTACAGCATAGGGGAAGTGCCTATACCCGTGGTCCGGTATCACAACGATCTTGGGGTGACAGTGAGTCATGATATTTGGACGACGGCCCATTGTCAAGAGGTCGCAGCTAAAGGTTTAGAACCCTCCGGGATTTAAAATGGATATTCACTAAGTTAGGTACTACCTTGTTCACTACAGTATATACAACCTTAATGAGAACTAAGCATGAGAACTACGTTCAGACTGCAAGCCGCTGTTTTAAAGGTGACTCGGATATCCTGGAAAAAATACAGAGGGCAGCTACCCGTGCAACTCAAGGACTCCGGGGTTTACCATACAAAGAGCGGCTTGAATAGCTGGACCTCTCCTATAGCAGACTAACGGAAGATCTAATTTCGATGTATAGAATACTAAGAAATGATTTTGGACATACAGTATTCTCTATTTTTCTTCACGTTAAATCGGGACATCTCAGAGAGCATAGCAGGCGTGTAGAAAAGCCAAGAACAAACAAAATACCCGTGACATACAGGTTTTCACACTGAGTAATCAATACTTGGAACCTGTCACCCGAAGCATTGGTGTCCGCACCTTCAATTGACTGATTCAAGAGAATACTGGACACTCATAGAAGTGTAGTGTGATGTCGAGTCGCGGTTGACTAAGATCATCACTACAGGAAGACTACGTTCCGGGTAACCGATAAGATCCCCCGTAAGCTAAATATTAGAAGGCAGTTGATTGCTGTGGTCGAGATGTATTTGTTGGCGAACTTGTGGTATCGAAATAATACTGAGATCGTGCCAGGTTACAAGTGTGGTTACTGAGCGAAACCGAACTAGTGCAAGGTCACAATCAACGGAAGAATGTATGTTCTTGGTACAGTTAAACAAACAAGTAGAGTAAAACAATCACTGGTACAATTGGTTATTGTAATAATTGTTTCCATTAAGTCAATCGCGTTCTCTTGATAAAAGTAGGTCACTACAGGAGGCCCCCGCTAGAAAGGGTTTACACTCGATAAGTAACGGCTTAGTTCGTGGAACTGGTTTGCAAACGTACGATTTTACCACGAAAGGGTTGGCAGAGCAGGAAGCGATCGTTGATCCTGGAGTTGCCACTGAATGTCTTTTACGTAGAACGATACCAGGAGAAGTGTGCTGTGTTTGTTGCTCGAGTTAGCATACCACACCAGAGTGGTTTGTATCCATGATTTGAGGATTGCGTCCGTAGTGATGCGGACCAGAAAACGCTGCAGACGTAGGATGGAACAACGTTGAGTCAAGAAACCAAAAGCGACCATAACAACCAATTGCGAGACCAAATATATGCCAGACAGAATCGAAGCCAGAACATCGACTGAGTGAGTTGACAAGAGTGTGGGTGATCAGGCCAGCTTTCGCCAAAACTGACTGAAGTCGACGGTACCAAACGGGCGATAGTCAGAGGCGTGGGCTTAGGATATCAAAATCAAAGAAAAAGAGAAAAGGTGTAGCATACATGTAGTATGGGAATAGTCCAACACCGTATCCTTTGTTGATTGAGCGGTTAGTCGCGAAAGAGTATGGGTAGGCGTACTCGGCGACCGCAATGTGAGATGGTAGTCTCGTTCGTACTTCGTGAGCCTGCAATCTCATCCGAAATACTACGTAAACGTAGTGCTACACAAATCTGGATCTGAGCGTTTTCAGTAAGGTGGGTTCATTAGAACTAATGTGGTCAGCATCAAATGTCGAAGACTTACAGAGCTATTGATTGTGGGGATTTCTTTACCACTACAGTGGGAATGTTCCGATAAATGTATTTTCCATAGATTTGGGTATGGCCTTTGACAAGGTCTACCACCTGGTTCTTAAATTAAAATAATCAACGTTCTCAGTGATAAGAGACAGCGAGTACGGGTAAACATTGCTTGATCAACGTAATAATCAGCAAAATGTAGAGTTCCCCAATGCGCGATTCGGCCAGACTCTAATTTATGGACGAGCCAATCAGAGGCGTCTTAGGCTACGGCGCTAACTTCAGTGCTTAGTGCTAACGTACGGTCGGTTCACAGGAAATTTTGTACAAAACGTGATAATTGAGCGGCTATAACAAATAAAACGGCGAGAATATAATTTGTAGGCGAATCAATCAGTTATAAGATAATAGACCTCGGATTTTAACGCGAAAGACTTCCACCCATCTGGCTAAATAAATTTCTGGCATTATATCTGATAACAACCCCATATATAATTCCTAACTAAGTCAAATTACGACAATTATTGCGAACTGGATAGTAAAAGCACCAGTGACACTGGCTGAAGCCAAGTACTACATCTCAGTAATAAATGTACGTATGTATTCTCGCCAGGTTTATGTGATGTCTAGAAATTTTCGGGGAAGTTTTGCGTTAAAAAGTTTTGGGAAAAAACCCCAAAGTCAGGGGAAATTTGGATTTTTACCCAAAATTGTGACAATTTTGGGGGGTTTTCTTAGTAAGTATAGGCGCACTTCCCCAAAGTTTAATAAGATTCTGGGGAAATTTTGGGGTTTTTGTGCTATTTCCCCAAAGTTTACTATGGCGGCTTCATCAAAGTGGGTCAAATTTTCTCCAAAATTGGGAGCTCGGTTTGGGTTCTGTAGCCGTATAGATGATTTCCTCTACTGCATGCAATACGATTTTAGAATCTCTGAACCTCTTCCTAACATTGACAAGTTTTTGAGCCACGTATAAGAAGTGTATCTACTTTATTTCCTTGTTTTTTTAAAAAACATTTTTACTCTATACAGACTGTTTGTTGGCTGGCTGATATTTCTCAAGGTTACTTTAGATTCGTTCGAAGGTCGTCCATAAATTAGAGTCGCGCCCACTTAATATTAGCATCTTCTCTTAATAAATTCAAAGTGAGTTTGGATCTCAACAGCACTAAGAATTGCAAGGATTAACATAGGTTGACTGGCTTCCTATCCTTACCACGTAGTAAGTAAGTACTGAATACCAAAATCTTACTTCGGTTGGAAGTCCGGTCTTCAGCGATAAAAAATAGTAAGTCGTTTGACCTGTGTTAATCCTCGGAGCGAAGATCCAGCTTCTCTTTGAGATTGTACACTGGTGGAAATGATGACACCTGTTCGCGTAGAGTACTCTGGAACGCACCTTCTAGTCATTGAACAATCGGTGTAGGAGAATCCCACTGAGTTTATTTGGTTGAGGTTTATTAAATTCATTGTGGCCTCGGAGATAATTAGTTCCGTAGGGAGTTATATCATAAGTGTTAACATCAAAATCATTACTTAAGATGCGGAATAACAACCATAACAATTGAAAATCTTTGAGAATTGCTGTATTGCAATCCGTAGTTGTTTTCAAGTCATGACTCACTGATATTCCTGTCTTGTTGTTCCTGCACTCGTAGAAGCGACGTACCATTAACGGCATACTGCTAATTAGCAGTGGTTATAACCATTGCCGTGTCCAATGTAGAATAACACACTCTTGGTGATTCGTTGACGTAGAAAAAGAAAAATAGGGGACGTAAGATGGTGTCTTAAGGTATACTGATTTTAATCGATTTCATTGCAGATGGTGTTCTATCTACCATCATCCTTTGTCTCTGGTCACAAGAATTTCTCTCGCTCTTATATGACTCCTGTTGTTCCAAAGCTTGAGAGCTTTGCACAAGCCCTTATCGATACACATCAAAATATTTGAATATCACACTGATAGTCAAACCACTATCCTAGGTTGGCTGTCCAATTATCTCTATTGGTTAGTTAATCATAAATATTGAGACTCGTGTTTCTTAAGGGTAAATAGATTGCATGATTCTACATGACTTAGTAACTTAGTCCGAATTGTTTTCTCAAACACATTAGCTACTGCGTTAGTTGGACCAATAGTTCAGTAGTTGGGAACGATATATCTTTCTATACTTAAGTACAGGGTTAGCGATAGCATTCTTTTAATCTCTAAAGAGTCCGAAAAAGGGACATGTTAAATGGTACCGTGAGTGGTTCTGAAATAATGCCCAGGAGGAATAATAGCAATTGTAAATGTAACCTGTCGGGCCTCGGTGACTTACAAGCATTGGTATTGTAGCAGCAACTACCATGGTATCTCAGTGGCGTGGTTATTGGGTGTGTTGACAACAAAGCCAGCAGAGTAGACCTCACTGAAGTAGTTTGACAAAATCTCAGCTTTGACCGTGTTTGAATTATCGTGTAATAGTAACGGGGGACTCCAATACTACGTTTTGTCCTCCGCTTGACATACGAAAACAATCGTTCTTGGGAATTACGGCTATCGTGTGTCGAATGTCTTTCGTATGTAGTGCGGGGTCTAGCTCTAGCCATTTTACGTACACCCCTGATTTTTCGGTACTCATACTTAAATAACTCACGACCAGTGTTAGAAACAAGTCGCAAAAATGTTTCCTACTCTGTATCATTTCCCGATTCATGAAAGGCAGTTTTATTGCTTATGTGTTGACCATGATATGAACGGCAATGTTATGGCCTCGAATATGTCTTCAAACCCACTCCATCTTTATTCAATCAACCTATCTAAATGACTGACCAATTTTTTGAGGTAGCACAGTCTCTCTTTGCTGGAATGTTGGATTAGAAAGAACAGGTATTTCTTGTTTGGGTTTTACGTTCTTTTTTAGTTTGAGATACCGCAAAATGGTTTTTTGTTTTTAACACATGGTCATTTGAGTCTTAAATAAACATACACTTTAGTGTGACAGTGCTATCTTTCATTGATGTCTAAATTTCTTACAAGAACTAGTAATTTCTGTCTTAATGCTAACAGGCTCGGCAGTATAAGTTAGTTTAACTCCCATCATTTTGATCTTATACCTTCAGGAGTATGGTTTTAAAACACAATTGTATCAACTCATCAGTTAATTGACGTCAGCTATTTGACTAATATTTCTGTGCTTTTTAGCCTTCAGATGGATGAACGCTTTACTACGGCGTTGTCTATATGGATCCATAAACCCCAGGTTGTACATAAAGATGTATTTGCTTCATCCGTTGTATCCGAAACTGATGAATCCTGCGTAAGATTTATCTATCCGAAGCTCCGTACTGGGATCAGTGAATTCACTGAAGTTTGTTCCAAAGGATCAGCTTATAAGTTTTCATCGATCTCCATAACTTACATTATCGAGGAAACAAAGTAATTTTACTCTATTATACTGATTAGTAGTGGTCGCATTCAAGTTTCCGTCTTGGATGAGTCTCCTGGGTTTCTCCAGGGTTCTTGGCTGAAAGACGTCCTTGAACAGAAGCTTAATCTTTGGTATTCTTGTGATGCAAAAGTTAATATTCCTTCCCTCTCACTAATTGATTGCCGTTTATATCAATTGCAATACGAACGCTTGAAAAATACCTATGGACCTACTCTAGTTAAGGTATCCAATAAAATCGTGATTGATTATTTGTAGTAGAACTGGTCGGAGAAAACAGACCCAATGAAATTCGTGTATGAAGATATTGGCATAGCTTGCTACCTTATAGTATGTCAAATTGCACAATAAATTTGATTTTTTAGTGTTTATGGAAAAATGAACTTGTTAATTTCGTCGATCTTGGTTGTGGAAACGGATTGTTGACGTACATACTTTTGTCGGAAGGAGTAAGATACTTTGTCCTTTATTCAACAAGTTCACTGGCATAGGAATAGATGTACGTAGAAGGCACATTTGGAAGTCTTATCCACTAAGTGTACAACAACGTTTAAAGGTATGTTTTTTGTGCTTTCTCAATCCCTGAATTGCATGTGATCTTTAAGTTCTCGGTGTATTTCACATTTAAAATCCCGATTCTACACCCTACCAAGATAAAATGTGATTTTCTTACAGGATACAGAACGGTGTTTTAACTTCTTTGACCTCAGTAACTCTCAACCATTGTTTTAAATGACATTACTATGTGATATTTAGTTTGTATAATTTTATCTAATTTTAAAAATAAATCCTAGGAAGGTGATGTTAATATACAGCTTCCGATCATTTTAAATAAAACTGGCTTCCCGTACACCAAATATTTTTTGCCCATAAAACTAGCTAAGTATTTTGTTTTTTAAAATATTCGAGTTGTAAAAACCACAAGTAAGGATGTTATACCTGGGTTTAGCTCGTGGCAGTTTAAATATTATGGTCGATCTGAAAGTCACTTTTTTCTATCTTCAAATGGCTGATCTCTTAATTAGTAGGAGACCGTGACATCATATATAAGTGATATTGTCGTCCTGTGTAATGAATAACCAAATCTCATTTATCTGCAAACTGGAAAAGCCATGAATAACAAAGCAATAAAAAATAGCGAAGTATGACATTAATTTCAGATGTCTTTGGGGACAATGGTCTAGTATTGTCGGTAAGGTTAACTAGGAATTTAGTTTGAGTTCGGGATCTAAACGTGATTTCATTTAGTGAGCCTAAATCGGTAATTGATCTATTTCGTAAGAAAAGATAGCAACGCTCTCGTAAAATAACCATAGGACAACCGATTAAACCAATACAGTTTCTAAAATCATCTAAATTATGACTGATACTTTGGAACAGTAAACTCGAAAAAAATCGATTTGAAGATCAAAAGAGTTGATCATAGGAAGTTAAGGGCAGCTCAATCATCACGTGGCACCGGTTTATGAGGCCACTGGTTGTCAAATCGATCATTGTTGATAAACGCAGATTTCTCGATCGCGGTTCATAATTATCTTAACATTCCTCGTTCGCAGTGATACATATCCAGTCATATATGGCTGGGATCTGTCGATAAATCAAGACTACCCTGTCGGGTTTCCAGAGATCTAGCAGCTCGCTGACTTGAGACGTTATCAGACATGAATCAGCATTGAAGCCAGTGACGATCGTAATGTAGTTTCCTACTACAATGTTACCACTATTAAGATAAGCTTTCTTAACTAAAAGAAGTGTTGGTTGTGTTCTTAATTGAGCTCTATCCCATATTAAATACTCTTTCTGTTTATTTATTAATTGTACGACCCTTCTCTCATTTCTTTACAATATTATAGCTTCATTTGCTTGGCACACTTACTTATGCCCTATTATACCAGAATATAAATATATTTTTAATGGAAATATGAACAAAGAATCAATGTTCTTCATTTAAAAAACCCAGACGAATTCATACTCCCTTTTATGACCCTTTGGATATTCGACCCAACTCTAGTTTTTTTGGTTGTTTCTATTTTTCTATGGTTACCTCCATATTCTTTCTCATTATATTTGTGTAAAATTGGCTAGGAGTAATAGTTTTACTCTGATCCAGTCCATCAGCTACAGCAATCCAGTTTTTTTCTGAATTGTATTTTTAACTAAAATTCATTTATAATGTTATACAACTCTGTAAAATCTCGCTATCATTCTTTCATATTTTAGGAAATTTCGTTAAATCCAGAAGAAGTTTGTGGGTTTCCACAAGCCAATTGGCTAATTGGGAATCACAGTGATGAACTTACACCTTGGTTGCCTATACTGGCATGTAAAAGTGGACCATCATGCAAGATATTTGTTTTACCATGTTGTCCTTACAGTCTTTTTGGAAAATTCAATATCCCGAAAAGTTCACTTTCATTTTTACCTGACGACATAAATGTCAAACAGATAACAGAAAATAGTCGATATGGTACATATCTTAATTATATACAACACATTTTTGCCATTTGCAGATTTATACCTGAAGTTGATGCGCTCAGAATACCATCAACCAAACGTGTAGGTTTGTAACTATTAGTTATTTGTCGAATTTTTGAGTATATATATATATATATATATATATATATATATATATATATATATATATATATATAAAGAGGGAAGGAATGTAAAATTGCAATATACTCTGCTGTCAGTAACTCAACAAAATATCTATTGTATTTCTACGAACAACCTGGTGGCTGAAAGACGAACCACGATCATGTGTGAGTTACGTCACAAACCTTGCTAGATTCAAAATGCACCGTAGCTATATTGCCAGTTGCAGCCGTCTACAGTTGTGTATGCCATCCAAAAACGAACATGAAAATTTCTCATTTGGTATTGTTGCACAATTTTATTCTGTGGTCATTAATTCACTGGTTGAGATAAAGCTGATGGCATACCATATATGACAAAGAGAGGTAGTTAAAACGGTTGCTATAGTGTCCAAATCATGAAGATGGATTCTATGAGACTGCTTAATTTGATCACAAACTTAAGGCTATAGGCTGACAAGCTAGTAGAGAATTTATTGTTGGGGACAGTCATTTGTTTAGTTTCACATCGACAGCTGTATTTTATCGTCAATTGTTTGGGGGGTTCACATAAGATTTTTAGTCTTAATTAACTTTACCTGCTTGTTTTTTTATCGGATTTTTCTTAACTACTTTAGCTAATATCATAGTCGTCTCTAGCTTTTGTAGTGCACTATAGTATGATATCGCGGTTGTCTGTAATCTCACAGATCACAAAAACGAAGCTATTGATTCAGTGACCTAGTTTCTCTTTAAAATCCACTAGCCAACGTAATCTTTATCACTAATTGATAGAAATAGTTTCGGGACAATAAATGGTTTAGTTTTCTTCCAAAATCAAAGAACACACACTAGCATTAGATAGTAAACATTTGCTTCGCATTTATCCAATGACATATTTCTGTAAGTCAACAAATAAAATGAGTTTCCCGGTAATTCCACCTCGTTTTAAACGATGTATTCCGACTGTTTATGAAATTCACATAACTTTCTACTGAGTAATTGTTAACTCCAGTTTCTGTTTTTTGCATGTTATTTTTATGTTTCGTTGTTCTAGATATGTATTGTTGGTCGAGATATAATCGATTCAAAGTGTTTCGAAAATAATGAGCACTCAAACCGTTTGTCTGCTGTTAATAAATACATTGAATACGAACGTGATATTACTTCAAAGCCTAACAAAACGTTTGTTGCACGTCCACCCACAGAGATTCCCTGTAATTGTACAAGAGTTTCGAAATTTGTTCTTGACAAAATATCACATACAGTTTTCAAAGCCTTATTAATCTGTAAACCAGATAAATATCGTTTACAATCCCATAATCTTGTGCTTTCTGATGATTTAAGAATAAGAACTTTGGACAATCGTTGGTGGAATCCTGGTGGTAAGTTTCCATAACAGTTTTATTGGTAGATACTTTTCCAAATAGTATCCAATTTTTCACTGTAATGTTGCAAGTTCAAGGGTATTTTTAGCGTAAGATAAATAGGTATCTAAATTATCATACGGATCACTGGGCGGTTAAAAATGCGTTTCACACTATTGACGGCATGATACATAACCTGTCTATATTCATTATGACAGCTAACGTAAAACAAAGAAGGTGTTAATAAGTAGCTCAGCTTAAATTCTTGAAGAAAAATGCTCATTACTCTTATTGTATACGATCAAAATCTAATGGCCGTATATAAACTGGTCTGATATATGTCTACTGATTAATTATATGAAGACGACTCCTCATGGAATTAATGTACGCATTAAACTGTCGTGCCAATTATATTCCGACTTTTAGATTTAAGTCAGTTTGGAATCATTTCATTCCTTAAATATTTTGTTTGCATATATCCGTATAGTTTCATCTAAATATTTCATTTTATCAGCATAATCTTTTCATGTGGCTGGCGCTTTTTTACTGTATATAAACAATTTCTTAGAGGTTATTACCTAATAATACCTAATAAAAATCGTTTAAAACAGTGAAGGTGGTGATAAAATTTATATTTTTAATATAGATTACGTATAATAATTTCAGGTATTAGTTATTGTAAACTGTCATATGTGATCACAATAATTGCAGTATATAAATCTCTCAACAAGGTATACTCATCTAGCATTTATTTGTGACAGAAATTATCACAAGATGCAGTAGAATACAATATGTGAAGCTGCCGTGAAGTTTAGTTGGATGGGTGTACTGAAATATCAGGATAAGAATTGTTATTAAAATGTAGATTTATGAACTGACCAATTGTGGTATAATCCATAATAACAAGTAACTCACTTCTTTTGGTTATCCGTTACTAAATGACACCATCTAAACTCGTCAGTACTGACTGCAGAGTTTATTCTCATCCTTTTCTCACCAGAATTTATCAATCAAATCGATAAGCGAGTATAACGATTTCAAAACTTTCTTTGCGACTATAAAAAAGCTCAGGTACATATTTTGTATGGTTATGTGTTCTCTGGACCGGTTGGTTTAGTTACGAATCTCCCATTGTCGTCTTGGGCATCATCAGAGTCTACTTCAAGCAGAAGTGAGCTGTTTGAAGATCACTCCTCAGGTGATCAATCAGTCTGTTCTCATTATGCTTTTTGTGATTGATGATCTTTGTAGGTTTTGTCATTTTCGAGTATCTATACATACTCGTTGACTGTGCTGTTCAGTTGACCATTGACTGTATGATTGGTAAGCATCCTCTTGTTTAGCGTTTTTTTAACAAGGTTGTTTCTTATTAAATGAAACTGCTACTCCTATGTCCAATACTCCACTTTTACATGGACTTGAAACCGGTAGTAACTCTAGAAAGGCTCCAGGCAGTTACGTTATTGGATTAACAAGACTGTATTTTATGCCGGTGTGTTTATTGATTTCATGTTGAACAAATTATCATGTTTTATTTGGGATTATTAGAATGTCATTGATTACTACTTTCCCGATCAAATTCATCTGGACGGATTGATGTAATTGATAATATGTCATGTCGTTCTGCTGCTAGTCTATGTTCTTGTATAGATCGGTTTGCAAGTGATGTGTCGCCGAACATGACGATGATTGGTTGTTTGCTTACTCAGACTTGTAGATAGTCTGACAGGCGTTAAATGAGTTATATATTCTCCTATCCCTATTATCATTGATTGTTGTTGGTTTTTGGTGTGAAAATATATCTACGTTCTAGTTAGGTGAATCATGTGTCCTTGATCTGAGTTGTGTTGAAGTCTTGTAGAATAGACATTAACAGGGAATCTAGCGTAGATATTCGTCTAATATCCCGGAGAGAGACAGTGGTATCTAGTGTGAAAAATTGATGATCTTTCACCATACATACGTGTCAGGCATTCGATTGTTTTTCTGAAGGTCACATCGGCTGGCCTCTTTGGGAGAATAAAATTACAGAACTTTTCATGTTCAGAAACTCCGAGCCTCCGTAGTAATAATCTTAGTTTCGACCCTTCATCTCGCTCTTTACAATCATTAATAAACAAATCCTCATAGCACTTAAACCACGCCTCAAAAGTAGTCCCACTTTCTGAGTCAAATCTAAATTCATTTATTGAATTCGCAGTAGAATTCGAAGTCATAATGGAATTAGATACTTGGGTTCTTGGGGATACTGACATACTCTTGACCAATAATTCGATAAGAGCATTTTGCTGTTGCAATAAAGAATTCAGATCATACACTATATTGTTACAAAATCCTCTTTAACTGAATATATAGGCGTAGATGCGTTTTAACCACCGTCGCCGCTGTTATAAAAGTCGGTTTCCCACGTCTACACGAACGGAATGTTAGACGAATATCTACGCTAGATTCCCTGTTAATGTCTATTCTACAAGACTTCAACACAACTCAGATCAAGGACACATGATTCGCCTAACTAGAACGTAGATATATTTTCACACCAAAAACCAACAACAATCAATGATAATAGGGATAGGAGAATATATAACTCATTTAACGTCTGTCAGACTATCTACAAGTCTGAGTAAGCAAACAACCAATCACTGTCATTGTCGGCCACACTTAATATTTTTCTTTTACTAACTTGAGTATTGCTAGGTTTTTTCTTTTTCATGGTTGTATTGATGCTTTTCTCTTAAATATATTTACTTATTATAAAAGATAGTATATGAAAAAAAGTTGGAATAAAATATTCTTCCCTCTTTCATAATAAGGTACATTAACTTTATCAGAGTGCAGTGAACTTGTGTCACTAGAAGACATGAAATTATTAAAATCTCAGCATGGTGGTTTGCAAACTGTCTTGAGGAATCACCATCAGTGTTTTCGAAGTGAGTTGACTTAACATGAAATTAATTAATTAGTCTATGTGACCTGTATATTTTCATGCAATTTTACATTGTATATGTATTAGCAGTTCAAAATGTGACTAGTGTTTGAATGTAGTACTTCTGATTTTTTTAAGTGCACACCATTTAATCGGATAAACAGTACAAAGAATAAAGGATTTTAAAAGTTCTAGGTAGTACTCTCCAGCTGGAATGAACTGGGTGCATAATATTTAGAGGGGTATATATATACTTAAATTCATGATGCAGTTAGAGCTAGAAGCACTGGACGGCCGTTCCGTGCTAGTATGAAACTCATCAGCAGTCTGCATCCACGACCCCGCCCCGCGGGATTAGAATTCAGGACCTATCAGTTTCGCGCGCGAACGCTTAACTTCTATATATGTATGGATGTGTGTATGTAAATTTATTACACTATGACAGGGTGAGTAGGTGTACATATGACTAGATCCGAAATCAAACCTAGTGATTAAATTTAGACAAAGTAAATAAATATTATACCATCAAATAAGTTAGTAGTAACCGATTAAGAAATTTCTTAGCAGTGTAGACAGGTGTACAATAGTGAAGGTATCTAAAAATGTAGAATAAAGTAGAAATCACAATACTTCAAAAATGATTCCTTATTAATCACCAGAACCGTTTATATTTGTCAACTTAGTTTATTGAGTCAAATCAGAATGATTTGTGTCGGTTCATATACTTTCGTATTCAGTAGTCTGTTAACAATCGTTAATGGCTAAGAATTTTCCTCTCCGCTTAGCTAAAGGGGTTAAGCAAATACTCACTCATAAAAGTAGTTAGCCATTTTCGAATGTCTTTAGTTTTCTTGTCGCTTAAGATAATTTGAAGTGTCGATAATCAATGTAATATGTCGAGCTAATCGTTGCAATATACGCTCGCTAGTGCTCGAAAGATGAGCTTTGAGAAGTATTATAAGAATTGTTGAACCTCAATCTAGCCACTTCATGTATATCATTCTTACATGGTAACTGGTTTGTAATTGTGGTAGCAATTTTCTTATTTCTTTATTGGTAAGTCATTCAGGATATATTTAACAATTCGCATCTCGTATATAAATGCTGTCGAATAGATTTACTAAATGGCTAACTATTCTTTCCACAGATACCTCAGTTTTTATGTTATCTTGATTTGTTTAATATTTCCTCACATTAATTCTCGACGCATATAAACTATAAGGGGTATTTTAGCTAAACGGCTTTACTAAAACCCGTTAGATCTTGTTTTCCTTACCGTGGTTGCTAATTTTATCTTTGTTATTTAGTGAAAAAATAATGAATTCCCTTATTTTTTAAAACTTGGTGGAAATTAGGAATCCAGAAGAAAAGTGTATATCGTCAATGTGTTTGCTTCACGTGTGATACGATTAATAAACAATGTTAGGCCAATGAAATAGTAGATTCTGGATAGTACATAACGGTGTGCTAGATTGGTTATTTTTTGCCATTATTATTTTTCTAGGACAGTTGTTGTAGAAGTCAGAGAGACATAAGTGTGAGTTCAACGAAAGCATCAAAAGTATGTTTTCGAAGACAAATTTGTATTGAGTAATATAGCGTATGTTAACTAAATTAAGTCCGCATTAAAGACTACCTAGTGATTACGGCACTCAGTTATACACATATTCAGAAGAAATGTAGTTCTTTTCGTCCCTAGCTCACATTACTCGAAAGTTTACAACTTCTTTATAGTGTATTGTTTCTGGCCGTAGATTGCCGAAAGATGTAGCATTTCAAACGATAAATTGGACAAAGTTATACTAATGCAAATAAACTAGATAAGATGGAAAACCTTACTAAAATCTAGTGGTATTGTAATAAAAATAATATACTTATAAATATTCCAATCCATAGAAAAACTAAATTTTCAAATTTTCCGACTTAATTTTCCTACTCATTTGGACATTACAAATATATTGTTATTGATAATAACAATATACTTAATACTCAATTTATTTGAAATTATCAAGTCACACCTTGGTAATGATACCTAATGGTATTTTGTTTCCGAGATATTATATCGTATCTTAATGTTACACTGTGATACGAACACGCTTGTAAGCAGCTGATGGGAAACCATAAGATAAAATGAATTCATATTATTTTGCTTCAGTTGTTGTTTTGGCTTTATTCAAATTCGTAAAAGAAACCAATCGTATGAAAAACTTATTTATTCGATTGGCTTATAATTACTTTCTAGCAACATAGTTGTTTACTTAATGGCGTAATGTAAAATAAACTTCAGTATGTGATTAAAATACCCCTCGTGTGAACAACAAAACAGAATACTTAGTTATCACGAGATGGGTAGTTTAAAAACTCTACTCACCTCTACAGATAACAGTGACCTCGTAAAATCTGATCATTCGTCTCATTGGATAAAGGTGCTTAAGAAATCCGCTTCATTGAGGCCATTTCCATTTTCGCATTTCACGAATCGCAAACCAAAACGATGTGTTCATGACAAGAATCAATCTGTCTACTAAGTTTATTCTCAACTATGCGTTATTAAGATCTAAATGTTTGTTCTATTCCCATGCTCATGTAAAACTGGTTATTTTTGCGCCTATGGAACTTTGCTTATAGTATTTTTTGTTTATTCATCAAGCTATCAAAAACACCGTTCAGTTACGTTGGTTACCAGATAAGATGGCGAAGCTTAATGATTCTGGAATTCCGTTATTCAATAACAAAAATGGGAAGAATCGTAAAACAAAACTCTGCTGGATGTCACTTAACCATCCAGATGGTTGTCCATACACTTCTGAATTGTGTGACTTTGCCCATTGCGAAAATGAAATCCTTATAAAAATCGGTTCCATGAAACAATAAACAACAAAGCATTTTCAACCAAATAACGTCTTTGTTTTCTCTCCACAATGTTTTCGTTACGCAATTAACGTAGCTTATGAACTGTGTACTGGCAAAGATTTTGGTATTCCAAACTTGTTTAGAACATGAAACTGCACTAAGAACTAATTTTATTCGTGATACTACTTATAGAATGAATATAAAAAGTAAATAATTAATAGAGTAACATTTCCCATACAGAGTACTAGATTAGTTTAATATTTCACATCATGAAGTGTTTATGTATCAAAGTAATAAACAAAATAGTGACATTTTTAATATACCAAAATAATGTTTAAGAAATATTGTTCATTGTGACTGAATCATAATTAGTTCATTTCTGATTAGCCAGCACTATAGCCAGGAGGGCCATGCGAACATGCGTTCCATACTCCGCTTGACGGAAGTAAGCTGCTCGAGGGTCGGAATCGAATTTGGGGCTGATTTCTCCAACACGAGGTAGTGGGTGCATTACAATCATTCCTCTAGGCTTGGCTAGTGTCATCAGTTCAGGTGTAACAACAAATTGGTCACGCCGAGCATCTCTGTCATCACTCATTCTTTCTGTTTGCACACGTGTCATGTAGAGAACATCGGTATCGGGAAGTGCCTCCTCCAAGCTATGAATAAAAAATAATTTACTAGTTTAGTTTCAACTTTAATCCTGAATAGAATCTTGGTTTACACAATTGTGTATTGTAGTCGTCCAACGCATGATCTGATGTTTGTGATAGGCTTTAGGAAAGATGGAATGCATCGAATTGTATTTCCGCATCTCTGGCTTTACAGAATATTTAAATAGAATAGTTTTTATAGATAGAAACATTCACAGAAATTGTAGTCAAGTTCAAACTAAACCTACCTAGTCATCTCTTCTTGTGGAATGCCACGATCAGCAACATAAGATTTAACTTCTGGTGGCATCTTAAATTCATCTCTGTGAGTAACATAACGTAGTTTGACTTTATATAAGCATAATAATCGAGCCAAACTATGTACTGTGCGTCCATTAGCGAGATCTCCGACCATAGTGATAGTTAAACCATTCACTGTCCCGATCTCCTCTCTAATTGTGAAAACATCGAGGAGTGCCTGAGTAGGATGCTCGCCTATTCCATCACCTGCATCGATAAGAAGAAAAACATGAAACCTTAGGTTCAAAAGACGAAATACTATAGGTAATAAAGGTTAATAGTGACAAAAACACGTTTTGTTTGTTTCAAGAACAAGCTACTTTTATAATTCAACCATATATTTAAAGTAGTCTTCGTTGTAATCCCAGCTGATTTCACAGAAATTTGCATCCTCTTAAAAGTCGAATATTATCATCATACTGTAGTTGATAAGTATTAGTACCAAGAATTAACAACACCAGATAAACGTTGTTTTCGATAGTAAGAATAATAGTATTATCTAAATATCAAAGGCTTTGTGACTGATTAAATTGTTTGCTCAAAGAATAAATAAAAGTCTTAATTTTAAACAAGCTTAGATGGCAGAAAAAGAAAAATCAAATAACTTAGAAGTTATTAAGATCTTATTGTAACTCAGTGTTCCAGATCCATTAAAAGCAGTGTCTGGTCGCACTTATTGCGGCGTAAAAATCAAGGAGAGTGTCGTATACGTTGAGAGAAAACGAGCTTTAGCCATATGATATAGTTTAATTACTCATTCCACAATATCAAGCACCATATAAGGTATACGATTGTTTCCTACAACGCTCCATTCATTTGACGGTGATAATACCCTGTCCTGAGTGAATAGTCAACAAAAAAGGAAGTCTTTGTAACAATTGTCGACGATTCTATGCATCAAATATGAACAATGTCTCTTGTTCTTTTGCATAATGACACATGAAATAGCAATTTTGTTTTTGCCGTTTGCATTTGATTAATTATAAAATGTAAAGAAAAGTATTTCTCTAAACAAAGAAATTTTATCATGATAACATCAAAGATCCTAATCACTATTTTCAGGTAAGTTATTAGTTACAGTTTACTTAATGATAACTCGGCTGTGATCACTTTATTGTTTTGTTTGTACTTATAATAGTTCACTATATAAACAACCAAGTTTTACGCCTCCGTTATGACATTGTTTTTGTTATTGTTATTATTTTTAATAAAATAACTAATCAATAAAAGACTTTCATCTACATAGTACATTTAATATTCGCGAAATATTAATATATTATCATGGGATAAAGTTATCCATAAGCAAATCTTAGAGAAAAATGCCAAAATTCTGTCATGTTAAATAAAATAAGTGATGAAAACTTTACAGATCTTAATTTGGATTCGTTTATTTCGGAGTATGCTGAAACTTTTGTATTTATTCAGGGGCATTTAGTTTTGAAAACAGCAATAATTAATTTTAGTTTAATACTGTAGTCAGATTACAACATATTCAATTGCAATAGACGCAACTCACCAAGAATATAAAGACAATATGAACTAACCTGCATTTATAATTGGTTTGTGTACTATTGAATTTGCTAAAGCGTGTATAGCACCTTTTCCAGGATGCCTAATTACCAAGCAATCACAATAACTGGCCAATATCCGTACAGTATCTAAAACAGTTTCACCTTTTGTCTGGGAGCTGGTAGATTCTGAAAAATGCATTACAGTGCCACCCAGTCGTTGCATTGCTATAGCAAATGAATTAGAAGTACGCGTACTTGGCTCAAAAAACAGATTTCCCATTACCTGATAAAGAATTATGCAAAGTGAAGAGTTAAATATACTAAAGAAGATTTGGTGAAGTATAAATATTTAGTGAGTTGTTTTTATTTAATAAAATATGTATTAAAGTTTTACATACTTTTCCACGGCATATCTGATCTAAAGGTTTGTTTTTATTTAGAGCAACTCTAAAACTATGTGCTAAGTTATACAACCGACGAAGATGATCTCTTGAGAAATCCAGAGAAGAAAGTATATGCTTCCCTGATAAACCTTCTAACCACATACTTGGAAGGGTTTGGTGAGTTTGAGGTAGTTGGGCAGTTGGAATCAGACCAGATACGGAAGGTTGGTATGCAACAATTGGACTACGAGGTCCCTCATCGCTTTGGGTGGCAGCTGGGATCGGTGTACCAGGTTCATCTTGAGACTGAAGAACAAATACAGATGGATATACATACGAAAAGTAAATATTATTTATCAGTTTTACGAACAGATATTTTCATAATAATAATGGCAATTATGTATTTCCTTATAGAATAAGTTATGAAATGAGATCCATGTTGCTACTAATCGATTACTTTCCAATTTCAGTGAATATTTCCTAAGGAAGTGAATCAGCACTAATTGGGAAGTGCTGTATAAATTTAAAAAGCTTCGATTAGGAATACATGACTTGCTTTTCTATTAAATAGATATGAAGCATTACAAAAGTGGTTTTAATGGACATATTACCATTAACTGAGTTCGGGGGTAACAACCATTCAGTGTTAATCTAGATAACATTCCTATGCAAGTGAGTAGTTTACTTCTCAAAATTGATCGAAAATGTAAAATGATTATTGTTAGACACCTCTATTAAAATTGGGATTATTTACCCCGAACAAGCGAGTAACCTTGGTGAGTTTAAACGTTTCTCACCAAACTCTTACTATCTGGTTACAAAGAAAATAAATGGTAACACAACATTCATGTAGATATATGTAGTACTGTAGTGAACAAGAACATAGGTGGTGACAATCGAATATATTCAACACAAAATTACAGGACTTGTTAATAAAATCTAACAATCATAGAGTAAATGCTTAATTTGCAAAATGTCCACCAATTGTCTCAAAATGACTCAGACTTCATTGTTCTTGCATTTTCATACAAATTGCATCCTGTTTCCATTCGTTACTGTTCGATCCTCTTGTCTCTCTGCTGCCAGAGCTTCTGTTCACGACTAACATCATATACTACTTATTTCAATATAAGTAGCACACATCACAGTACTAGCTACTTGAAAATACCACACCTTAAGCTGCAAACTTTTCTTGTGCTTAGCTTCACGACGTTGTTAATTTTCAAAATCTAATGGAATGAAATTTTATCAAGAATTTATCTAATTGTTTAAAGCAACAGATAAACTAGATAGTAAAGTCACGAATATGATAAAATGTCACATGACTTGGAATAATAATTTACAAGAATACATAAGTGTAATCAACGATAATTGTACACAATAGGTAACTTACTACCTGAACACGTTCATTAATTGAATTATACCGGTTTCTTAGAGTGGGAGAACCAGTTGAGACAGGAATATGTTTCAAAGAAGTGTCAATTGTTAGTGGGTCGTAAGAATTCTTAGGCAAGGATATGTCTGACGACACATCTTTACCGAAACCAGGTTCTACCAAAACTGAAACAGGACAGAAAAAAAATTTATTCACTGGAAATGTACATTATATATATATATATATATATATATATATATAAGAAATGTAGTTCAATTCAATAACTTTCAACATTAGAGACGAGGGGAAAAGACAAGTTGAATTGCGAGGAAACTTTATTCAGTTGGTTCTCTTTATGAATTTGAATAAGACCAAAACAACGATTGAGGTAAAATAATATGAATTCATATTTCTCCTCAGCAGCTTAAAACCACATTTCGTATTAAGGTTTAATACTCAGTCAGAGACTGAGACTGACTGACACTGGAATATAATATAATCTGAGATAACATACATAGGTGACGAAAAGAATTGAAATAATGATTATCTACACAATATAAGTGAATAAAAGTGCGTAAAGTCATTTGTAGAGTGGATG